GTGGATCTTCTCGTACAGATTGCATAACTCTCTCAATATTGTTTTCGGTCCTCGATGTTCTAGGACGACCTTTTGCTTGTGGTTTAAACGTTGAACCAGTCTCTTCAAAACACTTTACCCATGTTTTAATTAAATTAGTATTCGGAGCTTCACTAATTCACCGTAGTTCATATTCAGAACAATATAGTCGCCTAGTAACAATGTATGTCTGTCGTTCTCGTAAAATGCACGCACGTAAAATGCGCAAAGATTCCTTCTTGAGCCTTATTTTTGCTCGAAGTTTTAAATCGCGACAAGTTCCTCCTGAGGCACTTGTGGCATTTCAGTTTGTAGTCTCCATCACCACTTGCAGTCTCCATCTCCTGTGCAGGGATCGTTACTGGTGATAACCACTCCGCCCGATGTATAAATAACGCTGCCAACACATCCTTCACAAATTGAGGTTGGATACTCTCAGTGAGTGGAAGCGCCCAAGATTGAAGTTTGCCCCCCCTTTGGCATCTTATACGGGCGCCGCATGGATCTTGGTTGAGGGTCTCCAAGAGCTCTTCTCCTGAGCGAATATTATCCTCGCGAATGGATAGCTGCAGAATTTTTCGGCATTTTTTATACTTTTCGTATAACTGTTCTTTTACAGTTTTATTACGGAACCGTCTTCTGCGATACCTGCTGTAGTGGCGCTTCGCTTTCACACAGTTAGCGTAGAACTGCAATCTCTACAGACCACCAGTACACCTGGCGCCTAGTAGGTGGGTGTTTGGCACGGGACATTTTTGCATCACAGATGTGTGTCATAGATCCCGAAAATAGAAATGAGTGCGGGAAATAGAGTAAATGGGGCCCTGCACTCTATTGTGAAGAGTCAAAATGTGTCGAAAAAGGCACGTATGGCAATTCACAATGCTGTGTTGGTCCCTACTTTAACGTATGGTAGTGAAAGTTGGGTGTGACAGAAGAAGCACGAGAGTAGAATGAACGCAGTAGAAATGCGGTCGTTAAGGAGTATGTTAGGGCTGAATCTGAATGACAGGGTGAGAAATTGTGTGATAAGAGACGAGTGTGGTTTGCAAGATGATGTTGTGACCAGGATTAAGAAAGGAATGCTTCGGTGGTTTGGTCATGTGGAAATAATGAATGAGGAAAGAGTGACAAAGAAAATTTATGTTGCAGAAGTGAACGGCAGAGTCGGAAAAGGACGCCCTAGGCGAAAATTTATCGACCAAATTGGCGATTTATTGATAACGGGCCAAATTAGGAGTACCCTTAACCGATGAGCATGTATGCGTAGGTATATGGATGTGAAGGAGGCGAGAGAGGTGTGTCAGGATCGTGCCAAATGGAAGTCTGTAGTCTCTGCCTACCCCTCTGGGTGACAGGTGTGAGTGTTTTATGTTATTTAGAAACTCGAAACTAAGTTGCCTCCGTCTCAATTTCTACAAGCCCAGTTGGTGAGAATAGCCTAGATTGGACCATAGAGGCTTCAATCACGGCATCTCTATCTATACCTCTCAATACCCGTCTTTTGGTTTCGATGGGATATGCCTTCTGACTGGAAGACTGACACTCGGAGTCTCTGGAGAAGAGGAGACATCGAATTGCATATAACGATATAACGTTCATGTAATATTATAACGTTTCTACATTCACTAAAACTACTGACACGAACGTGGCTTGCAGGGCAGGGGATTGCAAACAAGACATCTACAATAGATCCTCCCTGTCTCCGCACTCACGTGTAGACCGATCCCTGATTCAGCACTTTTAGGCCCGTTATAGTCACCCAGTCTCCTAGTGCCTCGCCACGCGCATCAGTTACAGGAGAACCCCAGACAAATATTTTAGCGGTAAGTTCTCCCATGAAATACTTTTCACTGGGCGGTTAAGTGGTGGGTTTTGCCCAATACGAGCCCCCAGCACGCTCAAGAGCGTGTCAAATTCAGCAAGGCATCTGTTTGGAAAGAAGTACACCCCGATGAGAATTATTTCCCTCCACTGAATCGCTGCATATCCCTTGCCCCTCGCAACTATTGTGAAAGGTGGGACGCCGGCAGCCGTCGACGATATGATGGCCACTAAGATATCGATGTTGCCTATCCAGTCGTTCCTGGAAGCGACGAAGTATGGTTCGCCTACCACCGCTACTTCAATCAACCACTGTGCCATGCTCTGCAAAAACAAATCTTGTGCGCCGGCACAGTGGTTGATGTTACCCGAAGAAGACGACAATGGCAATTACCAGCCATCATGTTAGTGGACTATCGTTTCCTCCTCTATTTGAGGTTGCGAAGTCGGGGTCCTTTCACCAACTATAATGCCCTTTCTTTTTTGCTTTGGAGGGGAGCACCTGTTGCTTCCCAGTATGTGGTCAGCCGGCCTGTTCACTGCAATACACATTGAACATTTTAACGTTGCCGCACACTTCGCTGACTTGTGGCCAGTCTGGCCACAGCGGTAGCAGTCGTAGCAATGACTGATCCACTGGTGAGGTGAATGATCCACCTCTGAAGGGTGCTAGGCGCGCACATTATAACTGTACAGGCATTTGTAGCATCACAATGATCTAGGTGGCAATATTTTTACCTGTTCTGCCATCCTTCCGATCAAAAGGTGCCTGCTTCCTTCAACTTTCTTGGCTGCAGGTACCTAGCAGCTCACCCAGATGGTACCGGTGATAGAGCTTTTTATTTATTTATTTATTTATTCTTTTTTGTACACCACAATGCAGAAACAGTACAAGTACAGTTAAAACCAAATTAAAGTACAATAGGCGGTCTTATCACTCTGAAAGTGATTTCTTCCAGACAACCTTTGCGTAGAGGAATGATGCAAACAAAAGTTAAAATAGAGGGGGGCATACAAAATAATAATAAAAAATATAATAATACATACAAATAAAGATAAGTGAAAATTATATATAAAATAACATATAATAGATAAAATGAAAAGAGTGCGAGAAAGGTAAAGTAATTTATCTAATAGTGTTCTAAATAATACGTTCTTGTTCTGCGTATTTCGCCTACTTTCACCATTTTCCAGGACATTCACCTTGCTGCGCAATTGCACCTCTGCACATTTCCTTGATCTAGATACTCTAACCACTTCCTCAAGCAACGATTCCATTAATATTTTAGCCAGGGAATTGGCTTTATCGCCACTCGTTGCTTCTTGTATCTCCAAAATACATATAATTGGCTGCGTGTCGGTACTGCAGAGATTGGATACCAAGGCTATCAAGGTTAATCTTCTTTCCAGCCTCTGTCAGCACCTTAGCATATCTGAGACCACGATCTTCAGCCCCAGGTTGCACTGTTATAACACAGGCGTGGATTATGCCATAATTTTATTGCACTTCTCTATGTGAATATTACGTTGTTGTAAATCTTTAATGTGATTTTCATGCTTAGTGAATTTTTCAGTAGCTTCCATCTTAAAACCTAACATTTCTTTGTACTTCTCTGCGTAATATTTAAGCTGTAAGTTAATTTCTTCCAATTTTTTGCTCATTCCCTCCACTATAGCCATTCGTTCATTGATTTGTTTAAATACGACTTCATTGTCTTTAGTCGTTGGGGAGCGAGGCGTTCCGCTCCCTGCTTTTTTACCTTTTCACACGTATCACAAATGCCTTTAGCACTTATATCTTTACACACTTTCTATGAAAGGCATATTTGCACTTTTTACACTCCACACTGTCTTCCTTGGTATTTGGTTGAAATTGTTTACACTTTTTACATTGCAATTTCGGCATTTTGCTTTTAGTAAGTCGAGTCAAACGTAGACTTGTCAAATTCTATTACGCAACACACGTCTGTTCGCTAAGAGCACGCGCGCAGACTGTGATTTGTTTTCACCTTTCTCCAATGATATGCTTCCACAGGATTATCTTTACGGTTTTTTCGTTATGTTCCAGTGCAGTATGTCTGTTGCTCTAACAACGGGACGGCCAAACAGTAGGAATTGTAGAAATTATCCATGTAGACATGATGACCACAATCCAACCTCTCTTATAAAAGATTCAAGATAATAAATAATAAATAAATAAAAAGTTTTATTCATAACCACGGTCTGACAAATACATATATCATGGTAGACTTCTTCTATTGAGCGCATAATGCGCCCGTATCAGAAGTAAGCCCCTCTTCCATATCATAAAATTTACTAAAGCAAGAACCGCTTGTACAAATTAAAGAAAGTAAAAATAATATATATGTAGTGTGTGTGTATGTAGTGAAAGTGTAGTGTGTGTGTAGTATGTGTGTAGTGTATGTGAATGTAATGTGTTGTGTGAAAGTTTACATACGTTTCCCCTATGCACAGCCCTACGACATAAAAGGTCTTGGGATCAGCGTTAAACCACTGAGCAGAGGTGGTAGTTACATATACAAGTACGTGGAGGTTATGATGTGTGTATGTATGTAATGAGTGAGTGATTTACACAAAAATAACCTCATATCAAAATTCTAATTTTAACAAATTTTCAACTTCAATAAATTCTAATGTCTTCAGCCATTCAGTGAGTTTTAGTTTACAGTTTCTATAAGTCATAGGATATATATCTAGTATTTTATTTATTTGATTATATAAGTGAGACGAGATGTTTTTGTACTGATTGCGAGCAAATTTAGTCTTGGTGTAATTTAGTGTGGCGACTCTATCTTTTCTTCTTTTAGTTAAAATATTGGTGTCAACATTAAAGGACATATGTTTTTTCAGAACTACGTGCAATATGTATAGTTTACGAACTGTCAATAAATCTGCATATAAATACAATGAATTTGTTGAAAACTGACGTGTTTTGAAATACATAATTTTTAATAATCCCCCTTTGAGCTCGTTCTAATTGTATAAAATGAGTTTTTACTGCACCACCCCATATCGTTATACAATAAATCAAAACAGATTGTGCCAACGCAATATAGATCTGATCAAGTAACTTTTTACTTACAACGTGTCTTAGTGTTTTAAAAATCCACATTAATTTACGTAATCTGCTAGAAACTAATTCGACATGAGACACCCATGAAAGTCTCTGGTTCACTAAGACACCAAGGTACTTCGTAGAAGTTAGTCTAGTTATAGTGGGGCAGTTGCAATTCGTGCTGACTAGCGGCTGACAGCAATGAATCTTAATATCACTGGGAAAGTCAGGCAGACTGTTTTTTATGGAAAACAAAATATAGTTTGTTTTGATGGTATTTAATGTTAGTAAGTTAAGACTTAGCCATTGCGAAATCACAGCCAAACCGTACTCTGTATTCATCTTTAAATTGTTCAAGGAGTCGCCTGTAAACACAATGGCAGTGTCGTCAGCATATGAGAATATGCTAGCATGAGGGATCTTCATAATGCAGAGTTCGTTTACGTATATTAGAAACAGGGTGGGCCCTAAGACGCTTCCTTGCGGTACGCCATAAGTAAGACCAGTTTTTTGACTTATATATGAACCTATTTTTAACCTCTGAGTCCTCCCAGTCATGTAACTTTTAAGCAAGTCAAGGGGCACAACTCTAATCCCACAGTTTTCTAACTTTTGCAACAGAATGGGTGTAGACACGGTGTCAAATGCCTTTTTAAGATCAAGAAACACTGCGAGGCAGTTTGTCTTTTTATCAAGATTATCAACAATTACAGAAGTTAGGGCTTCTACAGCGTTTTCAGTCGATTTCCCTGCTTGAAAGCCAAATTGTGAGCTGGATAAGATGTGGAACTTATTGAGGAAACTTATGAGCCTCTTGTTGATAAGTTTTTCTATAACTTTCGATATTGCAGGCAATACCGAAATTGGTCTGTAGTTGTTGATATCCTTCTCATCTCCACTCTTATGCACAGGTGTTACTAGGGACTCCTTGAGCAAAGACGGAAATATACCTTTGCAAAAACAAAGATTCACTAAATGACAAAGAACCGGCACGACTTCTGCTCTTGCAAGTTTTGGGAAACTAGCTGGAACGTTGTCCCAGCCTGGTGCACTGTTAGATTTTAATGCCATCAGAATAGAGTGTACTTCTGCCATATCTGTATCGTAGAGAACAAAAGATGATGTCTGAGTATTTGTACAAAAATTGTGCATAAATTGTGTCTTGTTTGGCCGGACAATCGCATCGGCCAAGTTTTTGCCCACACAACTAAAGTAGTTATTAGCTTGATCAACGGAATCACCTGCGCAAGGCCCAATCTGCAGTAACTTTGTATTATCCCTTTTAGAGTGCTTCCTATATGTTACTTTAGCAATATTTTTCCAGAGATTCCTAGAATCACCCACTGAGACCTCCAGAAGCTTCTGTTCATATTTCCGTTTCAAATTTCTAACTAGATTTTTGCAATAATTTCGGTATCTTCGGTAGGAAATTCTAAGAATCTCGTCGTTGGGATTTTTACGGAGCTTTTTCTGTAGATTATTCCTATGCCTGATACAACGCAGCACACCTGGAGTCATCCAAGGCTTAATTATGCGTTTACATTTAGGTACAAGAAGCAGTCCTGTATTTTCTTTTAAAGATTGCATTAGTTTTCCTAACAATAATTCGGTTAATACATTTGGATCATTACATAAAAGCAGTTCATGTATGTTTTTATTTTTTAGATCGATTATAGCTTTTTCAAAATCCACAATACATTTTGTTTTATTATACACTAATTGAGGTTTAACATTAGTTATGTGTAGCAATACCATAGTATGATCAGTTATTGTCGTGTTCAAAACTGCAATTTGGGCCACTTTATCGTGCGTAAGTTTAAGCATTATATGATCTAAAGAACTATCTTCCCTAGTAGGGAAACAATGTCCCATCATTACACTATGAGTACCTAGCATATCTAGATATTTTAATCGATTATTCCGCTCCAAACTTTGTTCTGAGTCTTTGGAGATAATATTAATATTTATATCACCTGATAATATGATATTTTTACACATACTTATAGATTCCAAATGATCATTTAATGAATTTATAAAGATGTCTGCATTTGTATTAGGTGATCTATAAATAGCCAAAATTATAACTGTTTCTATTTCTATTTGAAGACACGAGGCATTTTGAAGTAAAATTTCCTTTACATTACATCCTTTACATGAAAGTGAATGTGTATGTGTGGTTATGTGACGTTGAGTGTTTAACAATTAATTTTATAACAAATAAGTTGCATGCAGTATAAATATTTACTAGTGTATAACAAAACATAACCAAATATATATAATGCTTCGATTTTGCAAATGACATCATACCAATAAAAACATCTAAAACATAATATATTCTAGGATCGCGGAAAAGTATTATATTACGACTATTATAAAGATACATCACTAATATCAGTCACTTATTCATAAGTTTATGCACTTGATCTTCCGATTTAATCGTAATGACAGGAGCTCCGTCGGTCTCCCGAACATAAACCCTGCCATAAGCAGTCCAGCAGTACTTGTACTGCTTGGACTTGACCAGGTCTCTGGCAAGAAAATGCAACCGGACGCCTTTTGAGGTGAGTTGTTCCGATACGAAGATTGGCGTATCCTCGGAAGTTCGGAAGCCCAAGTGCTTAGCACATAGTTTACTTTTTGTTTTTATATTGAAGGTCTTACATAATTTCAAAATGTCATTTTTCACCAGAGTTGATGTAGTTTCAATTACAATCGGAGTGTTTTGAGAGCCCTTTTTTGCACGAACCCTGTAAATGTCTTTAATATCGGTTTTGAGCAGGTTACCTCCCACGGTATTTGATAAACATAAGGCCATTTCGATCAAATCTTCTTTTGATTCATTACTTTTTTTAGGCACGTTTTTAATCTCAAGATTTGATTTACGGCACCCTATTTGCAAATTTTCAATCCTTTCCTCCAATAGCGTAATATATTCTCTGTCTTCTTTTGCTTTATTTTCTAACTGAGAGATTCTCTTTGTTAGTTCTTGATTTTGAGACGATAACATAGCAATAGAATATTCTATATTTAAATTCGCCTGTTTAATTTCCATCAAAGTTGAGGAGAAATTTTTAAATTCCTGGTGTTGGCTCGTAACCGTTGTATTTAACTTCTCAAACATAGTTCTCATTTCCACTTGAAATTTCTTAAAATCCTCCATTGTAACATTTCTAGGCCGATTGTAAACAAACGGCGGCGTCACATTCGCAGCGTTCCGTGATTCATCGCCTTCGCAGATCGACATATTAGTGTCTTCGTGGCTCATTACCAGGTAAATAGAAGGCTGGAGGAGGTATGTACAATGCACACACGTCCGAGCGAGATAGCTTCAATTAAGATATTGTTTTTCGCTCACCGCAGTAGCTAGTTGAGAATAAAGCGCAGACAGGCGTGATGTTGTTAAAAAGAGATGAACGGGGATTTGCTAGCTGAGCGACAGTGACGCGCTATCCAATTGATGTATGTGTGCTATTAGAGTAATTTCAGTGCATGCGCGTGAGAGAGATAGTAAGCGCAGCGGGCGGGTGCGTGCAGGACAGGAGCAGTTCGGTAATGTGTGTAGAGTGTATTGTAGGATGACGTAGGCGCACCACGCGTTGGATGTTCTCTAATCTCAAAGTAATAAAGGTTATAACTAACCAGTATCACGCGTAATCACACGCGTACACGGCGTAGATGTGTTGGGTCGGCGTTAAACGAAGCGGCCGCTAAATGAACTCTTCGAGACTTCTGTTGTCCTATTATTTCAAAATGATTTTTAATGTGAACACTTTCGGTAAAAAAATATATTTATTTAACACGCACAGGTTTAGTGGACACGTTCGCACACGATGCGGTCCGGGGGGGAAGATGATCTTACTTGCATGTTTTTGGCCTGAGGTTTCATCGTTTGCACCAGCACAAACTTGATATTTTAAGACAGTCCAATTGGACTCAGCTAAGACATGGAGCTTGATACCATATTTATCCCTTAATTTGGCAAGGCAATTTATTTTTAATTTTTATAGAAATTTTGACAAATATCAATTAAGTAACTTATTTAGCATCCTCAAAAATATTTCAAAAAAAATTTATCTTGTAGTTTTCTGAAAATCCTCCGTATCTAACAAGATACACTGCCAAATACGGACATAATGATATGCAACTGACAGTGTATCTGGAGAGATACAGTGCCAAAATTAGGTTCTGAAAGAAAAATAAAACAAATCGAGAAAAATGTTTAATTTTAAATATGGAAATCGAAAAAACAGTTTCTGGCTTTAGTCAGACATAACCTTGTTCTACATTTTGAGCAACAAATGCTAGTTTGAGCTGTTTTACAGAGGCGACAACGACCTTTCTCCTTGAAAATTGGCAGGTGATCTGCTCCATCATACCTTGTGTCATCGAATGGTTGAGGGACTCCAGGTTTTTTTTTTTTATTTTTTGGTTACAATACGGAACATCATGGTGCTCTATCGGTTTGGATGCCAAAGACAAAAAAATTTGGCATCGAAATTCTTTGAGTGACATGGTTTTCTTGAGATTTTTCTGGGCACAATATCTTCGATATAGAATCCATCCGTTATTTACGCTGATATCTAGCATCTGCGCAAAAATGCCCATACACCACCTGCGACTTTTCATTTGGCTCCTATAAAGGGCTATCAACATGTCTGCCAAGTCAACACCTCCCATATGCATGTTATAAAATTTTACAACCTGCGGACAATCTACATTCGTCCGCGTTTTCAGTTCTTTGGAATATCTATTTACTTTGCTAACTGGATATGCGTCAGCAAATGAACAGGCCAAGGTAACTGGCTTACTATCTAACCACTTTACGACTGAAACTATATTGCGATTACAAACTATCTGCGAAAATGATCCCCGACCTTTTCTTTTTAGCACTTTATCTGTATCCAATTTCTCTTGACATCCTCGCAAGGGGTTAGCCTTTACAGTACCAAGGCTGAATATTCCCAGACATTTATCAACTAGCTCGAGAGATGTGTAGTAGTTATCGAAATATACAAAGAATGGCCTTTTTTAATCGATTGACAAAGAGCCACTACTACTTTACCTCCAAACCCTAACGAATGTTCCTCTGAGCTGAATTGTATACTGCGGATGATATCGTCACCCCCGTATAAAAGGAAGTCGTAAACATATCCGGACAATCCACTTCGTAAAAAAGTTTTGAAGCCCCACTTCTTTGGTTTTTTTTCATTGTATTGACGCCCGTTGCCAGCCTTTTTACCTTTGTAAGGAAGAGTCATCTCGTCAATGCTAAATCTGTCCTCTTCTTCAGCAACACGTAAGCAGTTTTGTCTTACACTTTCAACTACAGGTCGAACATTTTGGTATCTATCCGTACTCGGTTCATTTCTATCAGAGTAGTTCTTCGAAATTTGATTCTTCGACTGATTCATATGGCCAAAATTTAATTTCACTTTCAGGTTTGTAACACATGTTCATATGAAAAAAGGTATACCAAATAACATATATTTGAATGAGGGACTCGTTTTTATAAAGTAGTTTTCATGATATCGACGTTCAAATATTTGTGCCCAGATGAATCAGAATTTGTTACAGATGAATCAGAAACAGAAATAAAAATAAAAAAAACTTTGTATTAAGAAAATAATCATATTTGAATAACAACAATAACCTTTTTTATGAAAACAATTATCAGCGATCATATCACGGAAAAAAATCTGATGAATTAAACAATAATTCTTGTAAAAATATTTTTAAACTCCAGTATTTATAATAATTCTTGTATTATATGGTAAAGTGAGAATAGCAGTCTTAATTATTAATTGAAATTACCAATCACATTGGTTTATTTATTACTACCTAACAATAAAGTAACAAAAATGATATTTACTTTAAATGGCATTTTTTACAATAATCTTCCTTATCAACTTTCAAAGAAATATAGATTCTAGGTATAATTAACTAATAAGTAATAAGGTCAAAGTTAAATAGGTACTAAAAGAAATATTTTCTTGGCTTTGGGCTAGGGACGGAGCTGCTTTCAATATCATCCATAAAGCCTTTTTCTTGTTGACGAGATCTTGAATTTTCGGAGGAAGATGGAATAATCATATCTTCAACAATGCCGTGAGACTCTTTTGTCCGCTTATCATATTGAGGCTTTTTAAACACAAAAATATCCTCATCGTCAGAATCTGAGCGATCACCTACGCTTTTCTGATGTAGGGTCGATAGGACATCTCTGGTGAATTTTGGAGTTATAAGTCTTTCATCGATTGACGAAGTCTCCATCCAAAAGCTGTCGTATTCGGGAAGGTCGAGGTCTTGTTGGGTTATATCCGTATCTTTTCCAGTCTGAATTTCGGTAGCAGATATTTGGCTACGTTGTATCAAAGAGCTGCATGTAGATTTCTTCGATGTCACCTTTCTTTTATCCGCGGATTTGACGTTTAACACAACAGAGTGGTGACTCTGTTGTTTATTAATGTCTTCTATGGTATAAAAACCAATGTGTTGACCATGAGAACATTGAATGGCTTCTTGTGAACATTTGTCCAAGTTACAACTAAGTTCTCTCATAGCTAAAGTCTGAAGTTGATTGGCACTCCACACAACCTGATGTGTTCTCATGGTCCCGCGGAATTCCTTTAAATTTTCGGGAATCAGCATATCTTTCTCTAATATGCCCGACTCATAAACGACTTCTATAATAACTCCTGGACAGCGTTCTTTTAGGTGTCTGACAAGAATTTCAATGTTTGGAATGTCATTCCCTTTCGCAGCTATTTGATCAGCAGTTCGTTTTAGAACTTCTATTATTGTTGATAGTACAGTATGACTTCTTACACAGTTTTCCACCTTTAATGTAATAAATAACAGAGGTTAGGTAAATAACAGAGGTGTGCAATGTTACTTGTTGTCTGGAACTGCCAAAGTGGAAAGACTGAATCTCAGAGGCATATTTTGTGTTATAGTTTTCACTAAAATCGCAATGTATGATGCATTCTTCAGGCTTCAGGTTTTGTTTCAATTTTTTTGTATAATTATATTGAGTTATAATATTTCCGCAGTATCGCATATAAGGTACTAACAGGTTTTCGAAGTGGTCGATTATATCTTTGGGATTTTTTTTAGTTGCAGCGCAACTTTTGCCTTAATCGTTTGAAGCGTAGCTTTTTCTTTTCCATCTTTGATATAAGTTTTTTTTACTTTGTTCCAAATAAAGTAATGTGTTTCTTTGGTATTGTCAAATTCTTTATAATTAATGGCCTTATTTTTGCAACTATCACATTTCTTAGCCAGACAGTGAACATTTCTAGGATCACAACATAGTGATTGTAGAATCTCATTTACAGATTTTTCCACAATCAGATAATTTTTCCGAAGGGCTACAACGACCAACTCCATATTTTCATGATCTTTACATAAACATGTTTCACGAATATTGACGTTTGGTACGCGTACCCAAAATGGACGAAGAAAGAAAGAAAGAAGAAAGAAAGCAAGGTTTATTCTCCAAAATGACGCCATCACTGATAACATAAAAAAACACATAATTTACAAATAATGGCTATACAATACAAATTACAATATACTACATATTACAAACTATAACTATACAATACCTATACTAGTATGTGTCAAGGCGTCATCTGGGAACAGGAGCACACTCAGCATAATGCCATGAATTTTTTTTTCCATGGCGCTGATTTTCAGTGTGTCCAACCAGTGACTTACCGAAATCAGTGCTATATGTATACTTATTTTATTATGCTTTAACAGAATTATGACTATACGAACACTACAAAAGGGGAGATTATTAAAATACTATATAGGGCTATATACTACACTATGTATATATATTATTGAAGAATATAAAAGTATGTACATAAGAAGACAAAAGCCGCATTCAAGAGGACGATTTTAATGCTCAGTTGTTAATAATCTACGACGATGAGGTACGTAATCGTGCAAAGCGTGGCTTGCAAAATGCACTGTAGCTTATCCTCTCGTCTGTGAGGTGGCTGATTTCAGCCAGTAAAAAATAAGGCGCGTCTGTGGACTGGCTGATTTCTGCCATTACTACACGGTCGCATTTCGCGGCTAAATTCGTTTATTTCTTTATCTTTCTCTGTGGAATAAGACCGTGACTATGTTCGTTATGAACTTGGCTGTATGATATACGTTACTACTAGCACCGTCTATAGAAAAAATAAAAAGAAACTTGTCATTGAAGTTCCGTTGATTTCGTTGAATAGACGTGTGGTAATTTTGCTTTTAAAATTGTGAATTACAAGTTATTATATCTGATATCATGGAAAATACAATGGAGCGGTAAGTTATCTTTAATTATTTATCTACTTTTCGAGGCTGGTTGGCAATTTTCAATAAAATTTTTGTAATTGAATTTGACTCAGTCCTAGAAATGACCACGGTAATGTCGCAAGTTTTTACTTTTTAAGTGACTTAATTGCTTTCTGTGTCAATATATTCCGTGCAATATATTGTGAAACTAATATTTAAGCTAAATACGAAAGCGCAAAGTAAACTTTGATGTAAAAAGTGAGAAATTGCTTCAAAAGTATGTAACGGTCGTTAAGTGGCTGATATCCTCCAACTTCACAGGCTAGGTTTCACATTTGTTTTGGTAACGATGGAGAATATGGATAAGCCTTTGGCAGTGATGGGAAAAATGGTTTATTAAAGGTATTTAAAAATTCAAAATGCTAATTATTTGATAATATTTTAGTTTGAAGTAAAATATATATAATACTTTTGAATTAAAGTATTTAAGTACAAAATTCAAAATACGTATTTAAAAAAAAAAAACACTTTTTTAAATACATTTATAATCAATTTATTGAGAGATCAGTGATTAATTGTTTTGTTTGAAATATAGAAAAATACTTACAACCAGTTTGACTTGCGATCTCGGTATGTAAGACCATTTTGAATATTACAAAGACTATTTTTATTTAAAATGCAAAATAAAAATAGCTAAAAGGTATTTGCATTTTAAATACATGTATTTCTAATTATTAATTTGTCTGGTACTTTAGTCTACTCTTTTGTACTGGACTAGAACCTTCACGAGGAGGATTTGAAAACTAAAGTATTTTTGCGTCTTATATTTTCAGAAATAAATTGCAGATATTTAATCTTTTTTCTGACCTAAAGATGGTGTTCTGATCTTGGCAGTTACTGTTCGGGAGCGACTGCTGAGAATCGCGGCACCGCTCTGTATGGGTTTATATGCTGTCTTTCCGTTATAAACAGAATGAGTCGCTTGCCGAGATCGAAATTCCACCCAGATAAAGTGCTTATTATTTAAAAAAAATTTCTTGTGTTTTCTTGGCTTATTTTCTTTTTCTTTTGCATGTTGGTACTGTCGTTTATACAGTCGGAGGAGTGTCAGTGGCATGGTCCATACACGAGGTGGCACTCGTTCACGCATTTGTGCTCACACACGCGGTGGTGTTCGCACACGTGGTGGCATACACACTCGTGGTGGCGTACGCACACGTGATGGCACTGCAGGTGTGGCGCTAGATGTGGACGCGGCACTTGTTACGAGTATATGGTGTGAGCACAATGCCAGGTGGACCAGTGGTACGAGGCGGGCACGCAGCGTGAGGTGAACGCAGCGCACTTGTTACTGGAGTTGGAATGGGCATGTCAAGATCTTCCATCTCAGAACCGTAATCATCGCCTCTTTACTTACGTTCTAATATCTTCTATACTGATAAATTTTTGTATATACTAATTACAGGAAATTATTACTATTTTAGCCTATTTAGCGCGATGATAGAAGATGTACAGCAAGGGTATGGGTTGGGGCGTCCTTTACACGCTAAGGAGGGGGGAGATTAGGGATCACTAGTGTAATCATTGTACTGAGACAGCTAGATTAGTTTATTTCAGTTATTTCCATAACATAATGTCATATGTGATTTTGCTATGGGGAAATGCGGCATTCATATAAATAAATAATTAACCTTTGGCCACTCAGTATATCTACGAAAATTTGATTTATGTTCACAAAAACAAAAGTAGATTTATTAAAAAAAGTGATATATACTTTGTGAACACTCACAAACACAGGCTTGTGATACTAGTTTCTTTACTCCACAGATTCAGGCATCCATTCTTGGGGCAATGTATACGCTATTACAACAAAGTCCCAGAAAATACAAGGTCTCTGTATTTATAAGTTTAAATATTTAATTAAACAAAACTATGAATTATATTATATTATAACCATGACCAGAGTATAAATATCTACGTTCATCACGCAAATGGATATTCAGGGCACAAATGGATATACCTGGGACATCTGGTGTATGAGGCAGGACCACCAACTGCTACGCTACTCGGCCGTAAGAGTAGTAGAACAACGGGAATAATTTAATTATGTTTACTTTTACTCTGTTTATTGTTTCATTATAAATACAAAGTAGAAACTAAAAAAAAATATTTTAAAACAAATCAATCTTAGTCTCATCCATATTAATCTAGACACATTTTGGATGTTTTTGTACTAATTTTGTATTGTATAAGTTAGCATTGATTTTATGAAAGTTCTTAGAAACCATGCAAGGTTTTTAATTTAAATTAAAGCTAGTTGAATGTATATCTTGGAAAATATAACAGTTTGGTCAAACAAACAACTTAATCATTTAAAAATTAATTTCTTGTAACCACTAATTTTGTAAGTAAAAAAAAGGACCCTTTTTTGTGTAACTCTTATTCTAGTTCCATTGAGCATACCCATGGACCACTTGTGATTTTGCTTACCTGATAAGCTCAAGTTACAGTAAACATCAAGCTTCAATACTCAAAGCGCTTATTTACATAAATATACGTTAAAATATGGAGGTCACTTTTGTATAGTCTCAAAGTAGTTGGTTTAGAATGAAAGTTTTAAACATTGTTTTGCTGAAAAAAATTGTATGAAGTGGATTGCTTTTTTTGTAATAAATCTGTTAAAATATGTACTGTTGATGTAATTAAATGATTATTATTATGAAACATTTCTTTATATTTTATTTTTAACATAGAAATAAATATGAATATAAGTGCCCTAACTTAGATGTAGTATAACAAATTTATTATAATATTGCAGTTGATATGATATAAAGAAATAGGAACAGAAACTACTTCTGAGTAATGGATAAAGAAAATAAAACCTTAATTTAAAAAAAGAAGTGGAGATATTACAATTTTTATAAAACTAAAGCCAAAAATAACTCAAGCCTGTGATGTGGCTGATTTCAGCCACACAGACATGACATATTTCATTTTGAGTTTCTCACAGTTGAGAGGTTATTTTGTATTGAGGATTGGTTTCAAGATACTTTTTACGTAGATTCTGCAAGCTGTCGCTAAGATATCGCTTCTGTTTTCTTATTTTTCCTTTGGTGACAAATTCTTTTTTTCCCGCGCTCATTCTACTGTTTTCATCTTCTTCAAAATACATAGTGACATTTTCTTTAATTCCGGTAGCACAGGGTTCAACAACAATCTGTATTTTTTCATTCCCAGATAGATTTTCCTTTTGTCTTTTATGCACGTCTGTTACCCGTTTATCTTTTTCTAACCGTTTTATCTTTTTCCGGTAATTTTCATTTACTCTTTTAAGTTCCAGAATTTTTTGGTCTTTCAATTGTATTTCTTTAGTATATCTATATTGAAACTTTCGTAAAATATGTTTCCAAGGCGATTTCTTTTTAAGAGGTGTTTCCCGTGCAGCTTTTTTATAAACTTTTGGGCTGACGATACGTCGTGGAGACGATGCGATGCTACTTTGTGGGCTGGGAGTCCTTGGTGAATCTGATATCGAAGTATTTGGTGAAGGCGATATTATTCTCGAATGGACGTCAGCATTGGATGAGATATCGGTTTCATTTTCTGTTAGGTTCAAATCAATTCCAAGTGTCCTCTTTTGTCTAATTGTTGATCTTGTTATACGTGCAGAATGTGGTGAAAACTGAGTTAATACCTGTGATGAGCTGGGAATATCCGGAGATCTTGGTATAATCGAAACTTCTGGAGATGATGGTAATTTCAAATCTAAAGGATCATTTATTTCGGTATCGTCTGCTGGATCACATTCGTCAATTATTACCTCTTCTGAATGAATATCACGTTCTTTTAATAATTTCTTTTTAGCATACCATCTTCGAGTACTTTCTCTGCTTTTCTTCCTAGCTAATTTTTGTTGTTTCGGTGTCAAATTCTGTACTGATGTGATTTTACCTTCTCTCTTTCTTTTCAAATATGTTTCTTTCATTTTTAATTTCCACAGAGCATACTTGTCTGGATCTTTTCTTATATTTTCCATCCTTTTACGTTCTGCGATTCTCTTTTTCTCCTTCTTTTGATCTTTAGTTTGTGGCAATGTTATAGACTGTAATATTAAAATAACAGAAATTAGATAGAGATTAATGAATAAGTAGGTTTTTATGGTTGTTAATACGGAAGATTAATGTCAAAAGTGCCATTTAAATAATACTGGTCTCAATTTCTTTATATTATTTTTAGTAATAAATACACTGTTAGTTGTGATTGTTATTCTTAAATAATAATTATTAATTCTTAACTTAGACTAAGCCTATCAAAAGTGTCATATGTAGAATAAATTTATACTCCTGTGATTTTTTAATCATTCAAAAGGTTGTATCTAAGTAAATATAATAAATAAGACTAGAACTACTGACTTGCACACGCTCAAAAATTGGACAAGGATTAGGAGCAACAAAAGCGCTCCTTTTGTGCTGGAGAGACGAAAACTAATTCATTTTATGATTTATATGGGGTTTTGACCATATGAATCGGGCACAGATGAATCAGGATTTTGCCTACAATCATGCATAACTCATCATACATACAGACTTTAGTATTGTTATCTTTTTACATGAATTTATAACCCAAGAACACCTTACGAAACTCAGATTGAAGTTTTAAAACAATAAAATAAATTTTATAAAGTAGGCAGTGTAATCAGAATGCCACCTGAACCAAGCACAGATGAATCAGATATTTACCTTCGTAACACCGGGATCTAAGCCAAAAAGCCGCACGCCCGCCTTCTAGCTCGTTCGTTGCACGACTGGCGTCCCCCCGCGCAGGAAGCCAGACTCTCATTAATATTACCCGACCAAGTACGGTCAAGCGCAGCTTACGCCACATTAATCAGTATTATACGTCGGACACTTCTTAGTTACTTATTTATAAACACACCAGCAATTATTTGAAAAATATATTTTGTCCCAGATAGAGATACAGATAAAACAGTCCAAAAAAAATACATGCCGTTTTCTTAGTTGGTTACAGAAAATATATCCATAGAAATCGAAAATTTTGTCTCTGAAGAACTACCCATCAGCGAAGTGAATAAATCGCCAGATTAGCTGATATTTCTTCAAAAGAATAATGTCTGCAATTGGCGGATACCTCAATCGCGAACTCCAGTAATCTAAATAACACGGCATTCTTACAACCCCCATAAGAATGTTTTCATCTGAGAAAAACAGTGCAAAGTACCTTCGTGGAGAAATGTCTTCAGGAGGTGGGTCTGTAAATATAACTGGTTCTATGGAAGCACTGTGGGAAAAGCGTGTTTTTTCCAGTGGAAATTTAATTGTAGTCGTTTTGCTCTTTTTATTAGTAGTCGGGGTTGCATGTCTCGTCCGCGCTTTCTAGATCTCGTGCATATTTGACCACGTGATGTAGATGGAGTAACTGGCACAGGTAAAGCTGGTGACGGCAATAATGGAATCGAACTTATAGAAGGTAAAGAATTGTAATCAATTTTGTCATTGGAAGGAAATACAGCATTCAATACAGGATTAAGCGCTACATCAAGGATCAAAGGCGAATCGGATTGATCGTGAGTCACAGAAAGTGACGCAGCAGGTGTTACAGAAGAGGGATCTTCGTCGTCGCTGTCAAGTATAGTTCGAGTGACGAATCTATGGAAGGCGGAGAAGAACTGAAACAGTCTTCATCTGGAGGTTGGAAGAACTCTTCTTCAACGTCTGACAGCTCACTACCATCAGACTGTGCATTTCTTTCAGGTAATAGTGCAAAAATGCGGTTACACCTAGCCCGTTGAAGTATCTATGGACAATAAAATAAAAAACATATGCAACCAAAAACCAAACCCAAGCAAAAATAAAACAAAAGACACCATAACACGAAAATACTACACAAAACATCAGGCAAATTAATAAATCATTTATTAATCTTAGATTTGGTGGGGCGGGGGTTACTCACACAGTCATAAAATATAGTATTATGTATTAGTATTAGTATATAATATAATTTCAAACGTCAAGCATTGTTTTTGCCAATTGGCAACCAATGACAAACAAACCAAATTGGCGATTTATTGAAATTGGGCCAAATTAGGAGCACCCTTAACCGACGAGCATGTATGCGTAGGATATGGATGTGAAGGAGGCGAGAGAGGTGTGTCAGGATCGTGCCAAATGGAAGTCTGTAGTCTCTGTCTACCCCTCTGGGTGACAGGCGTGAGGGTTTATGTTTACTTACCTTGAGACAAACAAATAACTTATATCATTTCCATTCTATCATATCATTTCCACGAAGTAACTGTAGTAGCTCGGTACACTGTTCATTAATATAACACACATTTAGCAAATAGCTAAACTGGTCAAATGTATGACATAAAAAATCGCCCAGTGTATCAATTATGGAAAACTATTTGTCAATAGATGTAGCAGTTTCTTTGGCAGAAAAAAAGGAATCATCATCAGTGTTCATAAAACTAAATATAAAATTTTATATATATAGAAGGTATATTACATAAAATACCAGGCAGACGTTGTTCTGCCCTTTTCGACGACCCTTTGTCATGTCCTATTGAAAATTCTTAAATTCGCAAATAAAAAATTGTGGGTCACTCATGAGCAAAAAAAAAATAATCCTATCTCTCAAGTTGGAACAAACTGCACACGGTGTGCAAATTTGATTAAAATCGGTTGAGTAGTTTAGGAGTCCATCGCGGACAAACAACGGACACGTAATTTATATATATATATATATATTAAGAAGATATAAAACGAATTCAATTATTATAGAACGTACCTAACTTAGCTTGTAAACCAAGGCGTACTGTCATCTCTGCACCACCCGCCAGCTAACAAACGCACATTAAGTCACTGATGTAGCAAATAATAAGCAAAATGAATTTAAAAAAAAAGATAATGTAAAATATGAAGCATATGTACGCTGAACACATACGTTTAGAATAGAGTTAACAACAGAATGAGATAAAAAAACACAGACAAAATAATTTCATAAAGTTAATCGGTACACAACGTATATAGACTATAAACTAATACACTACTTGACAGTTTACCAAGCGAAGTATTACTCTGAAGTTCATCATCATCATTACAACCCTTCACAAGTCCACTGCTGAACATAGGCCTCCCCCAAGTAACGCCACAAAGCACGGTCCTGAGCCACCTGCATCCATCGACTTCCTGCATGTCTTACCAGGTCGTCACTCCATCTAGTGGGGGTCGCCCTACAATACGCCTACCGGTACGAGGCTGCCACTCGAGAACCTTTCTTCCCCATCGGTTATCGGTTCTTCGAGCTATATGGCCGGCCCATTGCCACTTCAGCTTACTAATCCGTTGGGCTATGTCGGTCACTCTGGTTTTACTGCGGATATCCTCATTTCTGAGTCTATCACGCAGAGAAACTCCGAGCATAGCCCTCTCCATAGCTCGCTGAGCGACCTTGAGCGTCCTTATACGGCCAGCAGTGAAGGACCACGTCTCTGATCCGTAAGTCATCACCGGCAACACGCACTGGTTGTACACTTTAGTTTTCAGAGATTGAGGTATACCTGACGAGAAGATGTGTCGTAATTTCCCGAACGCTGCCCAGCCGAGTTGAATCCGTCGATTGACCTATCGGTCGAAGTTGGACTTACCTAGTCGGACTATTTGTCCCAGGTAAACGTACTCAACAACTCCGAGCATAGTGTTCCCCACAACTACTGGCATAGGTGTGACATGGACATTGAACATAATCTTTGTTTTGTCCATGTTCATCTTAAGACCTATCCGTTGGGAGACACTGTTGGGTGTACTCCTCAGGTAAGCTCTCTCCAGACCAGGATCGCAGGATCGTCAATAAAGAAGACCAGGATAGTACTAATAACTTGATTTAATAACTATATTTACAATGTCGTATATGACAAATAAAGATGTAAGAAACGTGTTGCCGCTACGGTTGTACGGTGCAGTCTGACGCCCGAACGGGGTGGTGGCATGTGTGTGACGTATGTATGCGTGACGTCACTGTGGGCCCGGTACGATAAAAGGTTTGTTGGTTGCGCCAACATCTTCCCGCCTCTTAAAGCTCCTGGCTTTAAGCTTCATCATCATCCAGGAATGGACGAATTCGGTTGATTGCTCGACGAATCGTGCCCTTCGTTGTAAGTATGTCCGCAACTCGACATGCGCCATCGGTGCCAGGATGCACTGCTTGAATCCGTCCTAGTGGCCACTTGAGCGGTGGTGTCGCCTCGTCCTTTATCAGAACCATCTGACCAGGTTGAATGTCGGGGCGGCGTCGCTGCCAACGGGTGCGCTGCTGCAACTCGCAGATATATTCCTGGCTCCATCTTGACCAAAAATGTTGCCTTGCCTGCTCGATTTTCGCATATCTTTGAAGCCGGTTAGGGTTCACTTCTTGCAGGTCTGGTGCCGGTAATGAAATGAGCGGTCTTCCTATGAGGAAATGCCCGGGGGTGAGGGGAACTAGGTCGTGCGGAGATGAGGACATAGGACATAGGGGCCTAGAATTAAGTATAGCCTCAATCTGTGCGAACAGGGTTGCTAGCTCCTCAAAGGTTAAATGGGTATTACCTATCACCCTTTTCATGTGGTATTTTGCAGACCGGACAGCTGCTTAATATAAGCCTCCAAAGTTTGGAGCATACGCGGGTGCAAAATTAAACTTAATCTTATCTTCTACAAATGACGCTGACACAGAGTTAGAAGCGGCAGTGAGAAACTCACCTAACTCGCGGTTAGCGCCAACAAAATTTTTCCCATTGTCGCAAAATATCTCTAGAGGGGGCCCTCTACGAGCCATAAAGCGACGCAATGCTAAAATAAAATCTTCAGTACTCAAAGAACTGACAGCCTCAAGATGTACGGCCTTAACCTTAAAATCTATTATGACACACAGGTAACTCTTTGACAGTCTTACGCCGCGACCTTTCCTGTCAACTGTGTAAAAAGGACCTGCGAAATCAGTTCCCACGATCTCAAAAACATATCCAGGTGTGACCCGTTGCGCTGGTAAATTGCCCATTATTTGTTGCGCAACTTCTCCTTTCATTCTCTTACAGCGTGTACAATCACCATAAGTACGTCTCGCCAGTACTCTGCCATTCAAAGGCCAATAATGTTCACGAATAGCTGAAAGAAGAAGCTGCGGTGGTGCATGCATCAACTTAAAATGAAAATACCTAAATATCAATTTAGTAAAATGATGCTTTGTATCCAGAATTATAGGATGCTTTTTGTCGTACACAAATTTCGAGTTATCTAATCGACCACCTACACGTATTAATCCTGACTCGTCTTGGTAAGGATTTAATTTACTTGAACCAGGTATAGAACTTGGGTTGCTCTTAAAATCAGCGAAGCTTTCACATTGTGATAAATAAGCCAGCTTGGACTCCGCCTGTTCAAGCTCGTCCACTGTTAGCAAACTCGACTCATACCTTTGCTTATGCACCATTACATTGATAAAACGACACACATATGCAAATATGCGACGTAATTTAATAAAACTAGAATACCTTAACATGTCGATTATTGGCGATATCGATTTATCAATGCTTACAGTGTGTGCACGCAACTCAGGTATGCTCGCTTGTACCGCGCCGCTCTGTTCAGGCCATTGGCTTTCGTTATCCTGCAGGAATGCAGGTCCCTCCCACCACAGTGACAACGACTGTACTTCGTCCGGGTATACTCCGCGCGAAGCCAGGTCGGCTGGGTTCTGCGCTGAGGGGACATACATCCACATAGCGTTTGAACATTTGTCATTAATCTCCGCGACTCGGTGCGATACAAACGTGCATAACTTGTTTGTCGGAATGCACAGCCATCCCAATACTATTTTACTGTCTGACC